ATTATGACTTTGATGGGATCAACTTGGATTGGGAATTCCCTTCAGTTGCCGACAAAGACCGATTCACGGCGCTGTGCCAGGTCTGATGTGGTCGCCAATGACGCGACCACTTTGTCAGTCCAGAATGAATGTAGTCATTTTGGTGTACCATTGGGTTACCTGATGTATGTCCCCATGTTGTACAGGAGACACTACAAGCCTTTGAGGCTGAAGTAGCAGGAACCAGCACGCCCAGGTTACTGTTGACCGCAGCAGTGCCTTCATACATGGGGAATATGGCAGGCTACGACATTCCACAAATTTCCATGTAAATGAAACTTGTTTTTTTACATGTACAGTATATGTGTGTGTGTGTCTTTTCTTTAAATAGTTTTAAATAGCCATTCATGAAAAAATTAATCAAATGTTTTTTTTCATCCTAAGGTACCTGGATTATATGAATGTGATGTCATATGACTTTTATAGTCTAGCAGATGGGTTCACGCGACATCATAGTCCTTTGTATGCTGGCCCTTTGGACTTTGGAAATCATCTATTCTTCACTTCTGTAAATACTGTTTGTTTGTTGTTGTTTTGGTTTTTTTTTTTCACATTTCCTCAGCCCATCACTTTCCGGATGGTAGTGGCCAGTATCACTTACACTGCTTTGGAATACTTTAAACGCATGTAACATTGTACAGTGTCAGACAACTGGAATTGGCAGATGAACAGTACTGTCATCCGTCATCCAGGATGCGACATTTTACCTGTCTACCTACTCCTTTTTCTGGCCTTGCTGCAGGAAAACATATGCAAGTAATTTGAGGCTGAGTGAAACAAAGTTGCCTATAAAAAGGCCGGTAAAGGTCTACAGCTGTCAGCCACACAATGAGCCACAAATAAAAAATAATTGCCTACCACTAAACTCCAATTAGAAAAATTATAACTGCATTCTTGCTAGTGAAAAATTCTAAGGAGGAATATAATTACCCAGCAGCTATAATGATGTGTTGTCAAATGAATCAAAAAATGATGTGTATTGTTAAATATTAAATAACAACATAATCAGGAACTGCAGCATTTTAAAGACACACAACACACTGTCAAAAGCCACAGTCAAAACCATTGCTAAAAATGTGTAATTGGTAAAGTACGGAGAGAAAAATCAACTGCTAAAGTCTTGAAATTTATAACACAAAAAAAAAAAAAGAAAGAAAGTTTGATCAATAATATTATGCTGTTTGAGAAGGAGCATAAAGACATGGAAAGTGTTGCCTAAATATTTTTTTCTCCACCTTTAAGAATTATTCAATGAGCACCTGGAGAGACAGTGGAGCACCTGCTGAAAAGCTGCTGATGGGAATCGCTGCCTACGGACGAACCTTCACCTTGACCTCAGCGACCAATAATGGGGTTGCAGCACCTACCAGTGGTGTGGGTGAACCAGGTCTTTACACTGGTGAAGGAGGCTTCTGGTCCTACTACGAGGTGAATATTAAAGCTCACTAACATTTACGATCTCAGGTGCATTCCACTGAAATCCTGGTGCTTTTTGTCTGTTTTTAGGTTTGTTACAATGTTCCACTACAAGACCGCCACTGGTCCGAAGGACAGGAGGTTCCATATGGCTCCGCAGGAACTACATGGGTGGGATTTGACAACCCGGATAGTGTTGAAGCAAAGGTGAATTACTAATCACCGTCAGAAAATATCTCGCACAAAACAAAAATAATAAGTTGTTTTTCTTTGTTTCACATTCATTAT